TGTGTGTTTCCCAAGTGGCATCCTAACTGCTGTGCCAAATAACTGCCCATTAGAAAAAAACACATTTATTTACTTGAAAGAGCAACAGAGTTCTCCCATCAGCTGGTTCCTTCCTCCAATGCCTGCAGCAGCTGAGATTGTGCCAGTCTAAAGCTTGGAGCTGGGAATAAGTCCCGTTCTCGGGAGTGGGTAGCAGGGACACAGATACTTGAGCCATCATCTGTGGACTTTATCAATAAGCTGAATCACAGGTGAGGTAGCTGAGACTCAAACCAGACACTCAGATATGTGATGTGGGCATCCCAAGTGGCAACTTAACCCACTGCACCACATGCCAGCCCATGTAAGATGTTTCTGTGATGCTCCCCTCAACAGAGGAAGAGCTGAAACATAGCCAAAGTCAAACAGTTAGGTCATAGGTAGAAGCAGGATTTGAAAAGAGACAGTCCAGCTCCTGGGTCCATGTTCTTACCCCTGTGGACTGCCTCTTTGGAAAATAACCCTGAGTATGCAGAACAAGTGATTACCCCTTTCTTGAGCCATCTGTGGTGCTCTCCATTTACCTTGTCACTGAAATGTGGAAGAAATTAATATTCTGGGTAAGTAAATGGACTTTTGAAAAATGGCATCTACAGGCTCAGACACATTGCTTGGTGTGTGATTTTAATTAATTATCTCTGTAGGTGTTAGACTTAATTGTATAAATTTTTCATAAAGATAAGAGAATAGCATTTAGAATTTGGGAGAGTTTGTAGTTGCATTCTCACACACAACGAGAGGCTGGTCCGTTGATTTTATTTTCAGTGCCTAGCGTATTGGTGATGCTTGCTACATATGGTATGCTTTCATTATTTAACAGATACTAGAAAAAAAAAGCTAGCATTCTCTCAGCTAAAGAAATCCTTAATTTAGACGTTGATTCTGCCCAGGAGGAGAATAAACCCCTATAAAAGACGGGAGCTGTAATAGTTTATGGTCCCTAAGAGGGCTCTGGAACACTGCTATACTGGTTGGTTGAGTAACTTTGGCGTCTTCACCTTATAGTTTGACTTCAGGGTTTGGCTTTTATAGAAGAAGCACAAAGGCCTAATCCCATTTGTCACAACTTCTTCTGTTCATCAAAGGACAGGACATTTTGTCCTCTGTAGACTGGATTGGCCACACCAATGCGTCACATCTGGGCACAAAGCGCAGTGAGGTTGAACCTGCTGAGCAGCGCACAGGTGGTGGCTGGGGAGAATGAGGTTGTTAAGGGGGAAGATGAAAACTGCAGAGAACAGCTCAGTGGCAGGCGTCACGTCAATGACAGTGTCTGCGGGGGGGCTGTGGTTGATCATGTTTCTCTGAAAACAGTGTTTTCTAAGGAGATGAGAGAATTCAGTCCTCCAAGCAGCAGCATCAGAGAGATCACCAGAAGTGGAGGGTGGCTGGCACTTTGTCAGGAAGAGGAAAAGGTCAGATGACAGGGTCCACAGTGTTAGGATGCAACTGGAAGTCAAGGAAACCGATTGCACGGGTGCGTTTTTCTGCCCCCTTCAGTGACCTCATCAAATACTTTCAACATCTTCCTCCCCCTGACCTTTGCTGTTGGTTGCTTTTCTACAGACTTTGTGTCATCCTGTGCCTGAAACTGGGACTTTTCTTCTCCCCTCTTAAGCATTCAAGTGAAGAAACCACAATATACTTGTTACTTTTTAAGATAGGACTACTTTAGTTAGCTTATGACATTGACTTTTATAACTGCTTATGAGAAGATGGAAACCTTTTATCCAGGCTCTGTTACTTTAGCAAGGATTGTTATCTGAAGTGCTACATGGATCAGTTTTCCCACTGGGGGCTGACTTTTTGTTTGTTTTTGGCTGATCTGTTCTAAGAAGTGCACTGATAATCAATCATGCAGTTCTACCAGATAGGGCAAGATGAGGACCCGTCAGAAAGGATGTTGGATGTAAGAATCAGCTTTTGGAGATGTGGGGAGAATGTTTTTGTTAAGTGTTTTCCGAGAGTAGTGAACTAGACAGCATTAGGCAGAATTGCTTTGAATTAATAATGTACTCTTTGGTTTATCTCCTGTCTCTTGCTTTGTAAACTGAGAGATGAAAAATATTCTAGGAATTTCACAAGCAAGAATTTAAAAACTACATTTTGTGATCTGAAGCTTCTTACCTAACTCTTAATGAAAGGTTGACATTTGTTATTGATGGGATTGGGCTTTCATAATTCAGTTCCAGTAATTATTTCAGAGTTTCTGTGGCAGCTTTGTCACTTCACGTGGCTAAGAGGTGCTACTAGAACTAGTACTTGTGCACTTGGCTTCCAAAATGGAGTTGTTTTCTAAGGCTGTTCTTTCCGCTTGAAATGAAGACTGTATTTTTCTCAGCTTAGACGTAGTAAGGTCTTGTTTGCATGTACCACTGGGAGTCTATTGGGTAGAGAGTCTTGGGAGTTCATTAGATTGAGAATCTGCTGCTAGAGACGTAGACTAAGTTACTCCAGGTCAAATTATGACAAAACTTAAGATCTTAATTGGGACAGTTTGGACCAGATGGTCTTGAAATTACCTTTTGGTCATTCTGATAGTTTCAAATGTGATTACAGAGCACAGATTTATTCATTCTGTGATCAGTCATACCTCAAGTCCCATACCTTGTGAATTGCAATGGAGTGCTAGTGTGTCTTACTACTCATCGGTCTTTTCTCTTGATCAGGGCATTGCAATGTCCATCACTGTTAGGATTTGGACAGGGTTCCCTTCCATCATCCTCAGCTAGCCTTCAGTGCAGCATGGCAGATAGTTGATGACCTCACAGCCAGCCTTCGTGGTCACCTTGTATGTTTCCACGTGAAAATCACCCTATTAGGATAAAAAAAAAAAACTTCCTAATTAAAGGGTACAAGGATTCCCTCAGCCAAAGGCAGCCAGGTCCCAGCTTAACATGAATTAGAGGATGTTAGCAGAAAATGGCCTGTTAATAGGCTGTTTAGGCTTTTCCATCTCACCTTCAGTTTTGTAAAATGAGAGTCACAAATTATTTTTTCTTCTGTGTGTAAGAATTTCACAAGAAAGAACTTGAAAAGATAGTGTTCCAGTGTTGATTTCTCCCCTGGTGCTGACGATGGAGTAGGAAGATCTGAGGTTTGCTGGGGTCATGTTCTGCTCAGTTGCTCTTAGGTGCTGTTTCCTGTTTTCCTGTGAGTACAGGATGGTGCTTAAAGTTGAAGTTACCTGATAATGATAATTAGTCGGCTAAATGATTTTTGAGACTTATAAACTAGGCATTATTAGTTTTAAAAATTAAATGTGGGCATTTAGCATAGCTATTAAGAACACATCTTAGGACACCTGCATCACATGTCAGAGTGCCCTCGGTTCACATTCCAGCTCCTACTAATGGGTACCCAAAGGCAGCAAGTGATGGCCACCCATGTGGGATATCCAGATGGAATTTCTGGCTTTGGCCTGGTTCAGTTTCAACTGTTGCAGGCATTTGGGAAATGAACCAGTATATGGAGGACCTCTCTGTCTCTTTGTCTCTCTTTGATGTAAACAAATTAGCTAATTAACTAGAGAGACAGAGGGAGAATAAGAGACAAACAGAGCTTCCATCTGCTGATGTACTGCTGAAGTGCCTGCAATGCTCAGGGTTTAGCCAGGTAGAAGCCAAGAGCCAGGAGCTCAGTGTCACTTTCCCATGTGGGCGACAGGGACCCAACGGCTGGAGCCATCACGTGCTGCCTCCCAGGGTGCACATTAGCTGGAGCTGCAGTCTGGAGCAGAGCCATCGCCTGAACCCGGATACAGGAGGTGAGTGTCCCAAGTGGTGTCTTAAATACTACACCAAATGCCTGCCCCACCTTTACTGTTTTATTCTGCTCTTAGTGGCGGTGAATAATAGTCATAACAATTGCCAGAGCATCCTCCTATGTAGTCTGTGACAACAGTGTCTATGACTTTAACCCTATTTACATTTATTGGTTAAATGAGAATAATTGAAGAAAAACTGCCTTATCTTGTTTCTGAGAATTACTTAATCAACATTTCCCTATAAAATATGTAATTATTTTATATCTAGCTATTAACAGTTTGACAAATAATAATAGAATTTATAGTGAATTTTGGCTTAATGAGATGTGAACTTGGTTTGAGGATGGTAAGTCTAGACTAGGCTATCATGGAAGCTCTGTGAGAACAGGGACTATATCTTTGGTACCTTGTCTTTGCCTATAAATGGTAGACACTCAAGAAATCTTTATTGAATAAATTAATACAATGTGCTGCCCAAATATTTCCCTAGATTGCATAGGTTCACTGTATCATTATCTCATTAAATAGATAAATTGAAAATCCTTTTACTACCACTTACTATTTATGTTTCCTGCTTAGAAAACATACTTTAGCAATGAAAAACCTCAGGTAAAAATAGCAAAAATTAACGACTTATGAGTCAATGTAATTGATAACCATGGTCTTTTGATGCATGAGGTCTCTTGAGGAAGAGAAACCTAAACTAAGGGACCCCACGGTGAAAAGATTAAAGATAGATGTTCTCTATTGTGAGGCGTAAATCGTGGACATGATCAGCACATAGATGGTTCGGTTCAGTGACTTATTTGGCACATTGTGCTGGCAGTTGCGTGGTCATCATGGTGCCTTGAGTCTTCCTGGCATTCTTTCTGCAGACACTGTGGATTCCAGCCTCTCACCTGGTTACCACAAGCAGTGCTGTGAGGGAGAAAGGGACAGTGGTGTTCTCACGGGATGTGATGGATGGAGGCGCAGAGGGTTAAGTCAGTAGCCCTGGCCATTTGCTGTGTGGTGACTGACTAGTAAAAGTGCTTTTCGCATCTAATTCATCACACCTGCATATTTGAACCTAATTTCGCAGAAGCAGAAATAGGTGTCGGAAAAGAAGAGGCCCAGAGCTGAGAAAAAGAACAGTGAGTACAGCACAAGACCTCTCAGTTATGGTTTAGACTTCAAGAGGTTGGGTTTTCAAAGATCTCTCTTCCTCTGAGCACTTAGGTAAAATATTGTGAAATCCCACTGTTAAGTACTGTGTGACCTTAGGCAAATCTTTCCGTTCTCAACAAAACTAGAGAGTTTATCTTTACTCGAGTTATTCTAGGACTTTAAGATTGTTGAAGAAGGAAAGCAAGCTTAGTTATAGAAATAACTCATTGATTTAGATGAAATATGGTCAGTTCACATTTACCAAGACCAAGAACAGGTGTTTACAATAACTGTCCATCATCCTGCAGGTCCAAAGTGCCCTTTATTGTCCTCTAAAAATTTTGCCTGTGAAATATGTTGTCTCTAAGATTATACAAAAAGTTATCCAGTGCAAACCAAATGTGAAGATGGCAGTATTGGGGTGGCCAGTGCAGGAGGCTGGGATGAAAGCTCTCAGGAGAGGAAGAGGGGTCATCATTGGTCACCTGCAGAAGAGGTCAGCAGGTGACTGTTGGCGTGATCTCCTGGAGCCAGCCGCATGTGGCAACAATGTGTGGCTCTTCTCCTTTGATCCGTGGCTAGGAAGGAAAAAGAAACATTGAGGAGAAAAGGTGGGCATTTAGCTTGGCAGTTGCGACACCTGTGTCCTGTGACTGAGTATGTGGGTTTGTCACCCGGGTCCAGCTCCTGATTTAGCTTCCTGCTAACGCAGATCCTTGCCCACAGAAAGTAGATGACAGCTTAAGTGATTGTGTCTGCTGCCCACAAAGCTGGAGTTCAGCTCTCAGCTTTGGCCTGGCCCTGCCGTGGCTGTTCTTGGTATTTGGGGAATGAACCAGTGAATGTGAGTTCTCTCTGTCTCTGTCTTTCTATCAAAGAAAGAAAGAATTGAGGAGTAGCAGGTGATTAAAATATCAGAGGTTTCAGATACTCTAGCTTCTCTGTACTAGTAAAGGCCTATCTATATCCATGTAACTAGCTTTGATTACATAATTATCCCGAAGAAATACAAAATCATCAGTCCACTAGCAGAGTTCTTACTGAAATGTATGTTTCAGGCCCCTGAATTGTATTGTTAGTAATTGTACTTGATATTTATTGTATACTCTGTGCCAGACACACGGCTAAATGCTATACATGGAATATCTCATTTACTCTCACAAGTATTTTGAGATACTTATTGTTTTTTTTAAAGATTTATTTTATTTATTTGAAAGAGCTACATAGAGAGATAGAGACAGAGAGAGAGGTCTTCCATCCGCTGGTTCATTCCCCAGATGGCCGCAACGGCTGGAGCTGCGCTGATCTGAGGCCAGGAGCCAGGAGCTTCTTCTGGGTCTCCCACACGGGTACAGGGACCTAAGGGTTTGGGCCATCTTCCACTGCTTCCCAGGCCATAGCAGAGAGCTGGATTGGAAGAGGAGCAGCTGGGACTAGAACTGGTGCCCATAAGGGATGCCGGTACTTCAGGCCAGGGATTTAACCCACTGCACCACAGTGCCGGCCCTGAGATAGTTATTGTTACTATCTTTCTTTTAGAGACAAGGTTATGGGATTTTTGGACACTAGAAACTTGCTAAGATATCCCTCCAGTGTGTGTTTTAGATATGACAGCTCTAGAAATTCCATAAGAAATGTAAGGGTGGAAAATGGTTATATATAAATTATATATATTTTGCATATATATTTATAAACATTAAATATAAATAAATAAATAAATATGATGCATATGGACTTTCTTAACAGCCCAAGTTGGAAAGTAAAGAATGATGTGAAGTACAATAAAGAATTCGGTTGGAATTGTTTGTCTTTTTGTGGTGTTGGAGCAGTTGCTTGAATTGAATTTTCTTGGAGGCAGTAACTTTGGAATCAGAAAAACTAGAATTTGAAGATCAGTTACTTTGCCACTTACTAATGGGTACCATTTAAACGAGTCCTGTGGCTGAGTTTCCTTATCGGGCGGATGAGCATATCATCCTGTCTCTTGTCTATTAGAAGCACAGTGCATGTGGTGTAGCGGGTAAAGCTGCCGCCTGCAGTGCCGGCATCCCATATGGGCACTGGTTCAAGTTCTGGCTGCTCAACTTCTGATCCAAGTCTCTGCTGTGGCCTGGAAAGGCAGTAGAAGATGGCCCAAGTCCCTGGGTCCCTGCACCTATGTGGGAGACCTGGAAGAGGCTCCTGGCTCCTGGCTCTGAATTGGCGCAGCTCTGGCCATTGTGGCCACATAGGGAGTGAACCAGCAGATGAAAGATCTCTCTCTCTCCCTATCTCCCTCTCTCTCTCTGCCTCTGCCTCTCGGTAACTCTGCCTTTCAAATGAATACATCTTAAAAAAAAATGTACAGTGCATCCTCATTATTCACAGACAACATATTTGCAATTTTGACTACTTGCTAAAAATGTATTTGTAACCTTCAAATCATTACACTGAGTGCTTTCTCAGTCATTTGCAGATAGGCAGAGCAGGGAAGTCAGTGAATGGGCAGCCACCTACCTATCCACCAGAACAAGGAGACACTCTTATTTCTCATTCCATAAACAAGTTTCTTTTCTGTGGACTCTTTAGAACCACAGTGTAGCAGTGAAAGAACATTTGAGGGGGATCTTCCAATGTTTAAGATGGCCTTCCAGGCATGACGCTGGAGTGCTGGCCTGTGACCCTCAGCTCCAGGGCAGGAAAGCTGAGCTGTGCCTGTTGGAGAGAATGTGTCTGCAAAGAGGCGTCACTACGGCATGGGTTCAGTACCTCACCGTGACATTGATGGTAATGAGGCAACAACATGGACTTAGTAAGACATCTTTCAACAGAAATACCGTCAAGGGTGTTTTTGGTGGGTGGGTGAAGGTGCTGTAACCAGAAGCTCTCTGGAAACCAAGCTGTAGTGTGTTTCTGCTCAGAGCAAGGATTCCACACTCACTGATGTGGTGTCAGGTCAGCTGTGCAGAACACAACCATGACGAACAGCAGGAGCTGACTTGTGTTTGTAAAGAAGCAGGCACAGTGTCTGGTGAGTGATAAAATACTAAGTACACTCATTTGCAACTTTTTCCCTCAGTTTTCCTTCTGATTTCATAGAAGCACTTCTGTAAGAGTTGGGGATCCTGACAGGGCAGTTAACATGTTGTGAAACGGTATCGTGTTTAGAAGTCAAGATTCACACACATAATCTTGTCCTCCTTAGCTTTTAGGATCTGAAGTAACAATATCATAAATATTGCTTGTTAATGAATTTATGGGTTGATGAAGATAAAAGTTCCATTTTGGACACTAGATTAGACTGTCATCTACAACAACTTTATCAGAAAGTAACAGTTTTTGGCTTTGTAGGCAGCACGGTAACTGTTGCAACTACTCAGCTCTGCCATGTATTGATATATAAAGGAATGATTAAGGCTGTGTTTCCAGGGAAAAACTGTGTGAAACTTTATTTACAGAAAGTGGCTGGCTTCCTGCCACTCACGTGCAAGATCTGGACTTGACTCCTGGCTCCAGCCAGCAGTGGCTGTTGTGGACTTTTGGGGAGTGACCCAGCGGAGGGGGAGCTCTCTGTCTGTTCCTCTGGTTCACAAATAAAAACAAAACAAAGCAAAAACACCGAGATAGTGGGTCAGATTTGGCCTGCAGGTTATAAGTTGCTAATCTGTGATTTATTGTAAAATTGCCTCTTGGTTATGATATTATTTCTCATGTTAGGGAAATACTGTCTGATTATGAGTATGTGATATATACAAGAGATCTTTAAAAAATCATGAAAGGTGCAGATTATCAAAAAAACTACACACGCATTTCAACATTAATTTTTACCAAAATAAACTTGTAAAATCTATTTTCCAAGAACTTTCTCAAGTACCTTATAGAAGACCCATAAACCATTGAAAGTAGAATAAAACATTTTCTATAACTGTGCTGTCTGGAGGTGGAAGCTGTTCGTGATGATGGGATAATGCGGTCAGTGCTTGTTATATGCCAGGGGCTGTGCAAACTGCTTCATACCGTATGCTTAGTTGTAGCCTTATGAGGTGTCTTCTGTGATTATGATTCCATCTTTGAGAGACAAACTAAGGTCTAGAAAGCGGGAGATAACGTCACAGAATTAGCAAGTGGTACAGTCTGGTCTCAGGGTAGTTTTGACCTTACAGCCAACACACAATACTCTGCCTAACTTTTTCTTATTTTGTGATGTTTTACTGATTTGAGGATGCTGATTTTAATGTTTGAAGTTTATTGTACAACATCCAGTGGACAAGTGGATGAGTGTGAGTTTTACCTTTAATTCTTTAATTTTCTAAACATTAGGTTGTTTTTATTTATGGCATGGTTTTCTGGTGTATTCTGAAAGAGCAATCTATCCAAGTGCCGTGTTTGCTGTTCCACTCCCTACTGGGAGATTTTTCTTCATTGGATAATTTGGAGGTTTTATTTTATTCTTGTTTCTTTAATATCTTGATTAAAGGATTAGAAAATCCTTTTTTCAGGTTTGAGTTACTAATACCAACTTGCACACAGCTAAATCCTGGGGTACTTTGATTTGCCTTTGCTGAATGGATAAACTTAGCCGCAGAATTCCCTCCCTCCCCGCCCCTGCCTGCAGTTGTGCCTACTATTCGTCACAGGACTTGTCGGCTGTCTCTGCACACACTCTGGGAATGGGCAGAGGACGAGACTGCGAAAATGAGCTGCAGACTGGGGAAGTGACTGGGTTGGCCTCATGATATTGAAGAAGTGGGTTCATGGTTTCAGAGTAGATAGAAACTGCTCAGCTCCTCTACGGCCCTCCGGTTATCCCCTTTGTGTCTCAGTGGCTCAACGTTGCATTTGGGCTTAGTATGTTAAGAATCCAAAAATGCTGCTGCTGCTGCTTTTCTTGAAGCTCAGAGTCTCACCTGAAGTGATGGAGGGTCTGCATGTTTACTAAGTGTTGTAAGGGAGGTTTTGTAACAGGTGTAGTGTGGAACAGCTGAGCACGTCACCTGAAGTGATGGAGGGTCTGCATGTTTACTAAGTGTTGTAAGGGAGGTTTTGTAACAGGTGTAGTGTGGAACAGCTGAGCACGTCACCTGAAGTGATGGAGGGTCTGCATGTTTACTAAGTGTTGCAGGGGAGGTTTTGTAACAGGTGTAGTGTGGAACAGCTGAGCACGTCACCTGAAGTGATGGAGGGTCTGCATGTTTACTAAGTGTTGTCGGGGAGGTTTTGTAACAGGTGTAGTGTGGAACAGCTGAGCACGTCACCTGAAGTGATGGAGGGTCTGCATGTTTACTAAGTGTTGTCGGGGAGGTTTTGTAACAGGTGTAGTGTGGAACAGCTGAACACGTGGTTGCGAGGGAAGAGGAAGGTCTGTCCTGAAGAGGGTCATTTTCCATTTAGGAACAGGAGTTTTCCAAGTGGAGAAGCTTGGTTGGCTATCATCTCTGGGAAAGAAGACCAAACAGCCAAAGGGAGAGAGGGTGGATTATTCTGGAAATGATAAACATTTTGTTATACTTGGGAGAGGATGGGGTAAGGAATGAGCTGCATAAATTGGGCAGGTTGGGAAATGCACGTAGTGGTAAGGGAGCCATTGGGAGGTGTTACT